TTGGCTTTCATCATGTTAGCTCCTAAGAACACAAAAAGTATTCTCATCCCAAAATATTCTGCTTCTCTGTCACAGAATAAAAAGCCAGCACACTCCATGTGATCTTATTTAAAGAAACTATTACCTATTTTTTGCAATCATGTTAACATCTTTAGGCCTTAATGGATGTCTTTGTCCACACCTTCAATATTAAAAATGACTGCAACAGTTCACCCACAGATTCACAGCTTATTGGAGGGTTTTTTTGTGTAACCTTTACACACTTCTCCAAGATAAATTAAAATTGTGAGAATCATTATTTTCATTCCACTGGCAACTTTGAGTTCACCCAAAATTGTTTTTTCCTAAAAAACATTCAGCCACACCTGTTTTGATCTCCCTAAATTATTATTTTAGAGGATTTCGTTAAGTAAAAGAGCTTGCTAGCATCTATGTGAATCCATTAAATATTAAAAATGACTTCACTCTTCTTTCTTTGATCTGAGCAATAAATGACTGACCACTTTTGCTCAGCTCTGCCTGGAATAAGAAAGGAATCAATCTCAGATCCTCGGAGGTAACTGCAAGTCTTTGTACACAATCCAGTACTATACTGAGAGGATCCCAAAGATAAACGTGTTTTTACATTTTGTAAAAAGAAATGGAAAAATTTGCACTGTAGCCCAGCTCTTTTATTTTGGTACATTTTAAAAGTCTCAGTGAGCCATAGTGCAGAAAGTACAGAACAAAAATAGGTAAGCTACTTTCATGGGGGAAAAATGGAGTGATATGAGCAGCTCCCCAAAGCAACCAAGAAGATGGCTAGTTCTGTTGTATTATTTCATCTTCTGCTGCAAGTGCAAACAAAGAGCTCCAGACAACTATACTGGTAATTTTCATGAATAAGACTTCTCCCTTTATTTTGTAGGGGTCTCTTTATGGTGGCTGGAATAGGCTTCAGCTTCCCGATGTCTAAACATAAGTGTCTAAAGGAAGGGCCTGATTTAGTTATCCCAACAGAGGTGCTTTCTGCCATTTGAGATGCTCCAGAATATCCCACCTGACCTCTGATTACCTACCCAGAAGGGGTAGGATATAGTTAGGATATAGATCTCCCATATGTCCTATGTGAGCCTTAAGCAGATGTCTTGAATTCCCTAGAGCATTTCAGATAGCACTAGATACCTACATTTAGGCACCCAAATCAAGCCCTAGGTGTCTACATAGTAGCTACCCTTCTAAGCTCTTTTCAGCGGAGGCCTAATCCATGTAGTCAATGAAGTCTAGATAGATAGCTTTCAGTGGCGAAAGGTAGGTGTCCACTTCAGGATGAGCTGGGATTATCTGAACCGTCAGAACCAGACCTGGTAGAGCTAAGCTGTAGGTAATAGCACCATGGTTATCTGGGATGTTCTGCTAGCACTGATGCTGCAGGAGCCTTTAGGTAGCTACTTCAGCATTTCAAAAACAAGAAGGTTATAAAAGCAAATTGGGACTAGAATGAAGTCTGGAGCCATTTCACTTCTGTGACATGCGATACAAACATCACTAACATCTGCAGCATCTCGGATACAGAAGACATTTTTCTAAAGTAACATACGTTTTGCAGCTCTTAAAAACTCTACATTTCCATGGACAGAAAGGCCACTTAGCAGCTTTTGTTCTTCTGTCCCATTTATTCATACAACAGAAATCTAAAGTATGATTTTTAATTTATTTTATTTTTGCAGTCTATTTAAAAGAAGTTAGATGTTTTTAAAATTTTCATTTTTCCTGCATATACAGAGATTTCCTTAAAACAATCCCTTTTAATTTATAAACTTGCTGTGAGCGAGTTAGATCCAGTCTTACACAGTATTTTTTCTTATACAGTAGATATCTGGTTCATATACATTTCACCAGCAGTTCAGCCTCAGTTTTCTGAGACTATCTATGTTTTAACTGGGTGGGCAGAATGGTAAGAAGGCAGGAAATTCAAAAAGCTGCACTGTGGCAGCTCATCCGAGTTTGAAGGCTCCACAGTAGGATTTGACAATGAAGCAGTGATCCACAGGCAGTGTTCTTGCTCCTCATATACGCAAAGCTTATGTATTTCCTTTTCTTGTAAATGGCCTGCTGTTGTGCAGATGGATGCAGTCTGCAGTGCACACCATGGCTGAAATGTGCACTTATTCATAAGTCATAATTTCTCCTGGGTGTGCTACTGATGATTACAATGGTATGTTCACACACTATATATCATTCAGCCACTAGTGATCAATGTCGGTGTCAGTTCTGTAGTTCTGTTCCCATGAAGAGGTTTTTGACTGATTTCCAAATACACTGCGAGAACAATGTTAAGCACTTCTGAAAAATCCCGCTATGGAGATTTCTGTATACTCTACTGATGTCCAGACAGGGGCTGAGTTTTCCTTGTTTAAAAAGAGATACTTATGTGGAACGCAAGATGTGTAGAAGCCTGTTTGCTTGGGTCCTGTAATATGCAGTTTTCTTCTATAAAAGCCTGCTCTTTAAGAAAGGATGTGAGCTCTCAGATGAGGACTATAGTGGCTTTCTTTAGAAAGATATGATAAACTTGGATCCTGCTTTTTTTGAAGTGCGGACAGATATGGATCCTGTTTGTCCAGTATGGCATGCTGCTTCAGCCAGGGTCACAGGTAAAAGACTGTCATCAGTCTTTGACTGGAAAGATCCTTTGGCTGGAAACTCAGGGTAGCACTGAGCTTGACAAGAGTTGTCGGGTTGTGCTGTGACTGAGCGGTCAGTCGTAGTATCTGCTAGTGCTGGGGGAACATTGCTGAGAAGCAAGTGTTGTGTTTCCAGTGGGGACAGAGTCTCCTCTCGGCTCCTGCACCGGGAATCCTGGCTACCCCCTGGCTGCAGAGTCCCGTCCATGTCGCTGGCAGCACCAGCTTCCCTTTTATGGAGTAGCAGCTTTCCTAAAACACAATTGGTACTGGAATGCAAACATCTTCCTGTTGGAATCGCTGCTATTTGTCTGTAAATAAAGCCAAGTTTTTTTTTTTTAAATGTGTTTTTAAGTTGGGTGTGTAAATCTATATTTAGGCACCTAATGGAGCGGCCTTTTTTCCTAAATGGCTGCTGACCACCCAAGTGTACTTTTTTTTAGCTGTGTTTCTAGCAGTAGCCTACTCCGTGCTGGACGTGGAGATATCTGAGAGGCACAGATCCAGCAGGCCTAAATTCTGGCCAGGTCCTTGTGGCTAGCATTTCTGGTTGGCTACTGCAGATTTTCAGAGACCCCCAACTAATAGGAGAACCCTAGGAACAGTGACTTTCAGGCAATTTAGAGCGAGCGAGTCTGGACTTGTGTCAGCTAACGGGTTTATTTGAGCAGCTGATGACAGCTGGAGCATGAGGCTGCCCCTGCCAGAGTCTTTCTCTTCCTTTTGACGGGGGCCGTGAAGGTATGTGATGTAGCACCACCGTAGACTTTGCACAACAGGCACTCTGCAGGGCAGTCTGCAAATACTGCTGCAGTGTAATGATGTCTGCAGGGTTGGAGCAGACCTGGGGGTTAGGCAAAATCCTTTACACTGGTGTAAGAGAGGGCAGAATTAGATCAGTAGTACTGTTTTCAATGCCTTGATTTGGAAAAAAATGTGATCAACATTTTTTTTGTAATAAAATGAATATTTGGACATTTTCCATGTAACATCCCCCCCGCCAAACAAATCTTTTTCGAGAGAATCCAAAGCTGCAGACCAGGTGAACACACCATGCTGATGAGAGCACGAAATGCTTGCATGAAAGTGTCACTTACAAGGGCTTTCTATCTCATTTGTGTTTCTGGATGGAAATGAAAGTACTGCAAGTTTCATTAAATAAACACATTAATGCACATATTTACACATATACAAAAGAAGGTAATATGGACTTCATGGAAGCTCACCCACTGATCCTTTGGGTAAGAAGTAATCACAGGTTGGCCAGCTAAGACATCATAATTGCATGCCAAGTAATTATATTGGGAAGCTTCTGCTGCAATTTAACCCAGTCATTAAATTTTTTTTAGAGGGCTTGCGAGCTAAAATTGTTATAAATGGCAACCAGCCCAGTGGCTCAGCAGCAAAACAAGGTTCTGTCATGCTGGAGACCCCAGTTCAAGGACAGACAAAGTATCTTGGGCTGTGAGCCAATACACACTAGCTGTGCTCCAGCAGTGGCAGGGCAGCTTTTTGTAAGGAGAAGGGGCCAGCGAGCAATTCCAATTGCTTAGCTGAAATGTGATGCTACCAGATGTAGAGGCCACCACAGCTTGAACCCTGCCCTCACAGCCACAAAGAAAGGATATTAAATACATACCAATAGGGAGGAAGAGCTACGAAAATGTGGAGGAAAAATGTGTAGTAAAATCTTTCCTGCATTCTAATTGCAACTTTGGCGTTCTCTGAAGGATACGTGACTAAAAAAGCAAACCCACAGTTAAACTTGCAGACTCTTCAGTTAACTGATATGATTGTTAGCTGAACCTTGGAAAGACAGCAGCCAAGCGTTAGCGTGGTCCCTGCATGGGACTGCTTTAAAAATATGAGAGACATGTTCCATGTAGACACAAGGAACTTCATTACCTTAAATAAAACAATATTACACTTACACCAACAAAAGGGAGATGAGCATCCGGCCATGGCATTACAAGTAGGGTTGGTTTTTTTTTTTGACCACACAATGCTGAAAATGTATGCTGTTTGATAGACTCAAGTAAGTGAAAAAGCTTTTAATAAAACAATGTGATACCCTTTCTCTTCATTTTGGAATCAATGATGAAGTATATTTAAAACATGGTATGAACGGTCAGGGAAGTCTTTTTTTTGATGCTTTTGTTTTGCACAAAGTTTGATCTTGATGTAAAATACCTGTTGGCACTGAAAAGAAAAATTAGAGAACTCAAGGGTGCACTTAAACTACTTAGAAGTCATATCAGTCACATTTATTAATATCTAAAGAATTGATGATAAAATGTAAAGATGATTTTAATTATTTTCCTTTATTTGTCTTAGATCTTCAAGATGCAGAAACTTCTGTATGGAGTACGATATCTACATCCTCCCCTTTTAATGCTGTTACATCTAGGCCTGAAATTCTGCTGAAGAGTAGCACGCAGACGTTCATCAGAAATGTAACTGAACACTTCAGTAAAAATGCCATTGAAAATCTCTATTTTGACTTGAAGTCTGCAGTAACAGAGAAACCCTGGATTCCAACAACTACTCTTCAATACTCTAGCAGCACAGAGGAGGTAAGGCAGAGGAATTATTAATTGATTTATATTAAGCCTGCTCCACTCTGTGGAGCCTGATAGCTATTACAGGTGGACATTTGGTGGACTAAAAAAAACTGGAGGGCTGAGCTTTGTTCTTTATTTTAATTGGATACTTTGTTCATTCTGATAATGTCCTTTGCTAAAAATACAGCTGCAGAAAAATTCTGCCCCTTCTGTACAGCACGATCCTGGCATGCATGCTGTTCTGAAAAATCTCTGCCCTAAAAGGGGAAATGTTCAGGATACATGAGGTGCGGTGGAAAGATCATGGATCTGGCAGGAGACATGGGAGCCTGGGTATCTGCTGCCAGTGTTTTAGTGTCTGCCATTGGCATGTTGCATGAGTGAGGTTCTAGCTTTAACTATGCTTTAAGAAACACAGGATGTTTTATGACCTCATTTAGGATATGTGATGTGAGTGAAATCTGAATGCTTTAACTTGCACTCATGAGGAACCCTGGCTTCAACCCTGGTCAGCTTTTCTACTGACCGACAGGCATAGTGGAAGGCATGCAGCTGCTTCTTGATTTATGCTCTGTTCTAGAGTCCAACCAAGAAAAGCCACAGCAGAGGAGGGGAATGGGGAGGCCAGTCCTATCCACAGAGGAAGCTAATTGCGGGCATTCAGTATCTCCACGTGAGCTTCCCCTCTTCTTTTTGTGTGGGCAAGGCACAGTTAAGCGATTTGAGAGTGAATCTGATATCATCACCTGGAAAACGTGCACAGGCAGTTAGAGCTGAAGTCCGCAGCACATTTTTGGTCTCTTTATAGCTATCAACACGTGGTGGTTTAGAACTGAAAGCCCCTAAGTTCAGAGTGGCTTCTTGTCAAGGAGACCATGCTGCACTCACAACATGGGGGTAGGCAAATACATTGTTTTACTCATTGCTTTGGCTGTCAGCGTTCCTGTGAATGAGGCTATAAGAAATGTGTTTTGCATTTGGGAGGACTGTGGACAGAGCAGTCTTTAAGGGGAGCTGCTATGTACCCTTGGTTACCTTAAGGAAATCCTGTACAGTCTGCTATGAACAAAAGGGAAAGAGGAGCAGCAGTGTCACTCACCCAGGGCTGTGTTGACCCAAATAACCAACTCGAAGGTTTATGGAACCTGCCACTGCCACTGCTATCCTAGCGCTGGCCAAAAGGGACTGAGCTGATGACGGACACGCTGCACCCTGTCCAAAGCTGATGGATGGTTCTGTGTTAAAATATGATTATTCTGGCTTGGTGCAGGCAGCCTGAGCTAAGTTCCCCATGCCCTCTGTTCACGTGCATAACTCCTGCACAGAATACCTGTCTCCTCCAAATCGAAATGCTCTGCAAAAGCTAGTATTACCCAAACTGCCTCTGGCACTGCTACTAAATAGCCCCACCAGTGCCAGAGAAAAGGCACTGTCTGAACTGAGAGCTACAGCTGTTCCTACCCCAGTTCATCTACTGATTCACGTAATTTAGAGTGGAGCAAGTTACTTTGTCAAGGCTTTCAAACCAGATTCCTGAAGATAAGCATGTTAGGCATCATCACAGAAACAATTTTCATGAGTGTCTGGACCTTGGAGCTTTCCAGCCAGCCGTTTGAATAATCATGTCAGCTTAAATTTTTTGGCCTCCATCTTTCAGTTCCCTGTCTTTAGAATGAAGTTAAAAATTTTTTTGTCAAGCTAGCAAGGATGTTTAGAAGATTAATTGAGGTTAACACAATACTTTGAAAATACACAGTACTAAGTGCTGAGTATTGTTCTTAGGAAGATAATACCTTCTATGAACTGCATCTGCTCAGGCCAGGTCCTCTTGTTTGTAGAATTAAAGCCTTGAAGTTACTTGGCTGTGAGCATTCCCATTTTGGGGGGGACAATGGTGGCACTTCAATCAAACAGCATGTTTAGTTTAGAGCAGCCTTGGATTTGAAGTAAAACTGCAGCTTGCACTTTCAAGCCATGACAAAAGCTATGCAAAGCCCATTTCCTCTTGATTAGAGAGACAGAGGTTGGTGTTAAAAAAAAAAAAGTCAGGAAACCTTGGGAAAGTGTCTGAAAGAGACTTTGGAGCCTGCTATTAGAGACATGTCCGGCCACTCCCAAAACTCACTTCCAGCTCTTTTTTTTCCTTTTTCTTTTTTAATTAGTTTCTTCACTTGCCACATAGATCAGTAAGCATTAAAGGCTATGATTACCGATTTGCTAAAAGCCCATTTATTCAATACCAGCCTGGAAATAATTACTTGCATAATGTTGGCTATTCTATATAAATATGTTGCCACCAGTGAATGATGAACCCCTCCTGTTTTATTCCAGTGCTGGCATAGACATCTGTGGCAGATCTTACCCTTAGAGCAACACTGTGCTGGATAATGTACAGAAGGAAGTCTGAAAACCCATAAACCAGTACTTTCCCTCTAATGTAACTATAACAGGGTAGTTTTAAAGATTTTACGATAGTAAGAATAACAGTAATAAAGTAGGAACTTCTAAATTATAGGCAGTGCTGAGAAGCAGCAACCTACTTTTTTCTCCATACATTAACTTACGTTAACTGGAAAAGACAGACAGACGTTTCCAAGAAGCTTTAGCTTGCACTCTCAGTAGGTCAGATTTCTTTCCTGAATTTCATTAGTTTGCACTGATTTTTCTTCGTTCATGTATTGCATCTAACTAATTGACACCTACTTATCTAAATTATATATTTTCTGCAAGTTCAAATTATGGACATGTTTTCAAGAATCCCTACAACGTGAGCTCCACTTTCGAAGAAAAGGCAGGTGATTCTGAATATTGTCATGTTCAGAGAGGGATCTGAAGGAAAGCAAACATCCTGACAAGCCTGCAGATTTGCTGTCCTCCAGCGCTGGGAACATACTGATGTGGTTTATGCCATTACCTCCAGAAAGCAATCATCTAAAGATGATATTATGCTGTAAAAATCTCTCATCTTGATTAGAAGACACTAGTATAATTTTAGTCCCAATTTATGTCTGCGACACGTACCTTGTGTTTTCCATCAACAGTTTGTTTATCACTGTAATAGCTCTTTAGGGCAAGGTCTCTCCTTTTGTCGGATGTAAAATACCTGTTACAAGGGGGATCTTGTTTTGTAATGGGCTTGAGAATTAACTAATCAACACATATTTGTATCATCACTTCAGGTTATTAATCATAAATTTAAAAGTCATCATGAGCCCTTGCAGGTTAAAGCCCAGCACTTTCTACACCATGTCACTAGGACCAGGCACAGAGCTCCACTGAGAGAAATGAAGCTTTCCACAGGGGCTGGGCAACACTCCGCTCTCTGACTGCAAGAATGAGAGCTAAGGTTTTCCAGGTGTTTGTATCTTGCTTGACAGCCTGATGCCCAGAAAAATCCTATAGTAGCAGTCCCCTCAAAGGGCAGACTAACATTTTTAAACCACAGCACCTTTTTCTACCTGAGTATCAAAATGGGACCACAAATGAAAGAGAGATGCTGATGAATTTGCTGGAGGTGCTGCTTTTAAAAGTTTAAATCCCATGTGCACCATACAGTACAGAACGCCGCAGAAATGTGCCGCGTTCCTGTGCAAAGACAGTAACTGCCACAGTCCTCCCCCTTTATGCAATCACAAATTTACCCAATAACTGCTAAGTTATTGACTCTTTGAATATTTGAAGGTCTGAATTTTAGTTATGTTTCTTCTTCCTTGTCCTCCCCCCCCCCCAATACAAATATATAGGAGTTTTAAAAGGCTGAAAGCTAAATAAAAGGAAATGGGTGTGCATGGCAGAAACGGAGCGTTGTGCTGCGGCTGTTTCCAAATTCGGAGGTGCGCTCAGCTCGTTTTGCACTGTCTGAAAACTGTGGCGACTTTCTTGCTTGCGGTGGTGTGTTAATTTTAGGCTGGGAGTTATTCAGGGGACTGGGACGGAGACTGTTTCAAGGACAGAACTGGATGCAGAACCAAACAACGAGCAGAGATGACCTGGCCGTTGGTGCACGAGCTGCTCCGCCGCCAGTGCGGCCGTGGGGCCGAGGGGAGCAGCTCCATGGCAGGCTCTGCCAGGTGCCTCCTGGCTGCACATCTCTGGCAGCGCCCTGAGAGGACGGAGGCCTTGGTGGTCTCCAGCTAAGCCCACACGCCCCGAGGTCCTCCTCAGGGAGCCCTAGAGCGAGAGGGGCTTGTGCAGCCCCTGCTGAGCTGCAGAGGGGACACCCTCCAGCAGAAACACGAGCGGTGAGGACGCAGAGTCGGAGTGCCGTCTAGGGACGGCACAGGCTAGCGCCGGGGGGCTGGGAGATGGTGCCGCTGGGAGGCCAGCTCGAGGGCGAGACGAGGTGGCCTCAAGGCGAGGTGCGCGCGAGACAAGGCAGGCGCGAGGCGAGGGCGAAGCGTGGCCGGTACGAGGCAGGTGTGAAGCGCGGCCGGTAGGATGGTCAGCGGGGCAGGTAGGAGGAGGCACGGCCAGCGCGAGGCGAGGGGCGGCTGGGCACCAGGTGCGGCAGGTGCGAGGCGCAAGGGACACCAAGGGGCACGAG